GACTGCTAGCTGCCATCAGTTTGATTCTTCAGCCTTCCATCCTTCTGACATCGGTAAAGTGAGGACCGAGATTGTTGAGGGCAATATGCTGACTCTGTGAGTGGTGCGGTGACCTAGAGGTGTGGAGCTCTTGCCTCACAATCGGGAGGCTATGAGTTCAGTCCTAGGTAGAGACAGATATTTCTGGGCACACTGAGAATAAAGCTGCTAAATAAAACTCCACATTGGCGACAGGAAGGGCATTCGGCCAGTAAACATTCAGCTCCATTCAGTTGCCCAGACTCCACCCTGCAAGGGATTATGTTAAAAGAGGATGGTGAATATGCTGACTTTGTAAACCGCTTAAGAGAGGGCTGGAAAGCACTGTGAAGCAGCATATAAGTCTAAGTGCTATTTGCTCTCTGTATTCTCCATTCTCACACCATTATGACTACAATGATAGGTTTATCCTTCAGAAATTTCTCACTGAAGGTCATTGAAGTGGGTGGCCGTATCATCGAAATACTTGTCAGAACTGGAATTCTAAAGAATCTTGAAAAGAAAAAAGAAAAGAAAAAAAGGAGCCATCATCATTGGAAACCCTACAGTGCCACCTAGTGGAGGAAACAGAACCAGACTCTTTCGATACTTGGGATTTTCTGCCCTTCCAAGCAGTGACATTTGCAGAACAATCAATATCTCATTATTGGCCATAATCACTACCCGGTAGCTTGGCTTTTGTGGAAGCAGCCCTCTATAAGAAACTCTCTTTTTGTGTGTCTCTCTGGTGTGTTTGGCAGACTCTTTGTCCTGCAAGTCAGTGTCTTGATTGGCAGGGATCGTTTTACACCCACACACCCCGCTCAAGGTTAGGCTGCATTTTTTATTTTATTTTTATTTGCATCGGATCTCAAAAGGAAGTGTGTTCAAAAAACACATGCCGAATGATAACTTTAAACCAGGAGAGAAACTGGGTGACCTTTTGCTAACTGCTGGAAGGAAAATGCTTGATAAATAAGTAAATAGGTCAGCCTTGGGGTGGTTTTGCTTACAACCTTTTAATTAAAACACTTCAGCCTGGAAGGTCGCACTGAATGACAAAGCCCCTACCACGAGCATGAATTAAACACGGGGTGTTTCCTTCCGGGCTGCCTTTAATTCTTCAGGCAAAAGGGGGAAAAAAAATTCCCTGGGACTCTGCATGTTTTAAAAGGTGACTTACCACATTTGCTGTCCTTAGCAGGCAGCGAGAGGGCATACAGATGAAGATCACTTAGCCATTATGCACTAAGTAAGTAAGTTTTGGGCAGCGAGGTTAGCGAACAAACCAGCTTCCAATAGTCCTCGACTTACAACTGTTCATTTAGCAACTTTTCAAAGTTACAATGTGACTGAAAAAAAGTGAGTTACAGATTAACAGAGTTGGAAGGAACCTTGTAGTCCAACACACACACCCCAAGCAGACCTATACCTATACCATTTCTGACAGATGGCAGTCCAGTCTCTTCTTGAAAGCTTCCACAGTGTCTAAAGGCAACTTCTGTTCCATTGGTTGATTGTTCTCAATGTCAGGACGTTTCTCCTTATTTCCAGGTTGAATTTCTCCTTGTTCAGTTTCCATCCATTATTCCTTGTCTGGCCCTTGGGTGCTTTGGAAAATAGCTTGACCCCTTCCTCTCTGTGGCAGCCTCTCAAATATTGGAACACTGCTATCCTGTCTCCCCTGGTCCTTCTCTTCACTGGACTAGCCATGCCCAGTTTCTGCAACCATTTGTTGTATGTTTTAGCCTCCAGTCCCCTAATCATCCTGGTTGCTCTTCTCTGTACTTCTTCTAGAGTTTCAACATCTTTTTTATAGTGTGGTGATCAAAACTGGATGCAGTACTCTAGGTGTGGCCTTACTAAGGCTTTAATAAGGCTTTCTATAAGGCTTTATAGAGTGGCATTAGTACCTCCCTTGATCTTGAGTCCCTTGACTTACGACTGACTGGTCCTTGCACTTCTATCCGTTGTAGTGTCCTCATGGTCACGTGATCAAAATTCAGGCATTTGGAAGCCAGCATGTATTTTTACAACCGTTGTAGCTTTCCAAGGTCGTATGATCGCCATTTGCAATCCTTCCAGCCGGCTTCTAACAAGCAAAATCAATGTGGGAAGCTGGATTCACATAGTGACTGTGTGATTCACTTAAAATACCGCAGTGATTTGCTTAACAACTGAAGCAAAAAAGCTCCCCCAAGCAGGCATGACTCGCTTAATAACTGCCTTGTTTAGGAATGGAAATGTATTTGTTTGCTTAATTCTGGTCCCAATTGTGGTTGTAAGTTGGAGACTACCTGTATCCCAAGGCTGTTTCTCACTTTGGAAGCTGCTTTTAATTTAAATTTAAAAGAGGAGGGTGCATTTCTTCTGCTAGAACCACACTTCTCTCAATCCTCGGTGTGAAGGCCCTTGTTAATCCTTTGAGTTGGCAAGACATTGTTTACGTGATTCAGAATCACAATCAGAATAGAGCTGAATGGGACCTTAGAGGTCTTATAGTCCAGGGCTCGCCAACCTTTTGGATCTCAGGCACCACCAAACTCATAATTTTAAATCCCGGGAACCACTAATATGAATTTTGACTGACGGTGGCTTGCTGACGTTGGTGGGAGAGAGATCTAACCTCTCTCTCTCTCTCCCTCCCCCCACCTCTTTCACACACACACACACACACACGTACAGAGGCAGGGGTGGGATTCAAATTTCTTAACAACCAGTTCTGTGGGCATGGCCTAATTTGTGGGTGTGGCTTGGTGGTGATGTGACTGGCTGGACATGGCTTGTATGTAAATATAAATATTTATATAAATATTGAATTTTTTATTTAAAAAAAAGAGCAACTTTTACCCAAAATCAAGCAAAGCAGGCAGGCAGGCAGATTGAGTTGCTCACAGAATCACAGATTCATTTAGAGATCATCTGTGTTTCTGCCATTGGCTACCTGAGTCTGTCACATAAAATTTGGTTGCAAGCAAACTCACAAAATTAACTCATAACACACCATGTATGTAAATATCAATTTTTTTAATATAAAAAAGCAACTTTTACCCAAAATCAGGCAAAGCAGGCAGATTAAGTTGCTCACAGAATCACAGAGCCACTTAGAGATCTATCTATCTGCCATCGGCTACCTGCACTGAATAATAGAAGCTTCAGTCCCAAGGACGGTCCACCGGTTGGCGACCACTGTTCTAATCCAGCCCCACCCCCCCTCCCCACTCAAGCAGGAGAACCTATACCATTTCAGACAAGTGACTGTCCAGTCTCTTAAAACCTTCCAGTGATGAAACATCCACAACTTCTGGAGGCAAGCATTTCCATTGGTTAACTTGTCCTCGTTTCTCCTCAATTCCAGGTTACTTCCTTCCTTGATTAGTTTCCATCCACTGTTTTCAAATCTTTCCTGTTCACTGGACATTACCAGCTCCTTGGCCTCTTTCATCTCAGGCAGCATGTCCAATTAGAGGAGCTTCATGAGAAATGGCACTAGATCAAGCCAAATCAGAAACAGAACATGGGAGTTTGGATCTTGGACCAGTTGACTACCTTGGGATTTTGCCAGAGATTTTGTCTGGTTCCAAGCTTTTGGACTCATGCTGGAGCCCATCTTCAGGGAACTTCTTCTTAGCAGTGTGTGGTATTTATAGTGCCCGTTGTAAGTGGCTTTTTAGATGTTGATTGGTGTGTGTTGATGGCTGGTTTTTAAGTCCTTAGCTGTCATTTGCTTGTGCACCTTCTAAGTACTCACCTTCTAAGTACTTGATAGGCTGGAGGCAAATCAGCACTCCTGTTGACTGACAAGGGGCCTGGTTCCCAGGCTTCAATCACTTCCCTGGCTGTTTTTGTGCCTGCTCGCCCAACAATATTAGTAGCTGCAAAATTGAATGAGTCCTTGTTCATTGCAGTGTGAGGCTACCAATGAGTTCGGCTCTCCTCATCTTACTGCTCACTTGGGTTCTTGTAATCTGATTGTTGCCTTCCTCACTGTCTGTAGTTACAGAGACAATCCATGAAGAGAATGAGGTTGATTACATCAGTTTTCAGTTTTTAATCATTCATGATATAGTTTCACCAGATAGGCGATCCAATGTTCATAAAGTGGTGTTTGATGTAAGCCAGTCTTATCTTATGTAAGCCTTTGTAACTCAAAACCAGCACTTTGAACTGGGTCCAGTGGAGAAATATTGAGAGAGAGGTTCCATGGCTAAGGGCAGACTAGAACCTGTTCCAAGTTCAACACCTTAACCCAGTGTTTCTCAACCTTGGCAACTTTTAAGATGTGGGGACTTTCTGACCCCCAGAATTCCTCAGCCAGCTTTTTCAGGAAGACACGAAAAGTCTGTACCAACTCTGTTATTCTCTATTCTGATTCTCAAGGGTTAGGCTTTTACACTGAGGGAGAAGATTTGAGAGAAACGTGGTGCTGGCAGAACAGAAGTCCCCTGTTTTCAATTTAAATAAAAAGCTGCTTCCAGATGACCAACAGCCTTTGGAACTTCGACACAACCAAGAGTAGGATTTAATAAATAAATAAATAAATTTATGTTGCTAAACAAGGCAGTTAAGTGAGTCATGGCCGGATTTTGCAATCTTTTTTTTTTTTGCCACAATTGTAAAGCAAATCATTTAGGAGTTGAAGCCCCCACATCCTAAATATGCCAAGGTGAAGAAACCCTAGTTTTGTCTGGCACCATTCTGCCTGTAGAAACATCGTCTCTGCTCATGCCAGCTGCCAATGCTCTATAATGAAGGGTTAAAGGGAAAAAGAGAAATGCGCATCAACCAACCTCCATCCCCTAGCATGGGGGGGGGGGGCGGAATCACATCTAATGTCCTATCACGGATCCTTCGTATAATCCCATCCACAGCTTCCTACAGGTCAGGCCCAGATAAGGATAAATGGAATTTAGCATCTGGATTATTCTACAGGGAATTCATCTCTACTTTAACTGAAAGCTTAAAACATCCACCTCAGGAACGTTTCCAGAGAACGATTTTAATAATCAAATCCACCATTTGCTGAAACATGCGCTTTAGGGAATCTGACTTGCCGAAGCATGCCATAAGACAGTTCTTGTACGTTCAGCATTCCTAACGAGGAGAAAAATCAGAACATTGAGATGAGTCTTTCTGTCAAAAAGTCACACAGTCAATAAAAACTGGTCGAAATAGAATCACAGAGTTATTAGGAGGATTCTTCCTTTGGCTTTTCGCTGGGCTCTGTTTTTGGCTCTGGATTTTCTGTGCTGACCTCCTCTTGTTGAAGTATCTCTTGAAGCTCCAATACAGGCCTGGTCGATGGAGGCATCGGAGCAACCTATTGGATAAAAAGCAGAGGAACAGAGTGTACAAAAGTGAAACCAGAAAATGAACCTTTCCAGGTCAAAGTAGCACAGCTTCAGGTCCTGATCAGCTTGTGAGCAACTTGTCAAACCAACGAATTATCATCCTCTGTTCTACATGCAAAGGGAGTCAAATCAGAAGCAACATCAATAGGATGGCAAAGATGGCAAAGGCAATACAGGTGGTCCTCGGTTTATGACCACAACTGAGCACAAAATTTCTGTTTCTAAGTGAAACCTTTGTTAAGTAAGTTTTGCCTCATTTTGCAACCTTTCTTGCCACCATGGCTAAGGGAAAGACTGCAGTTGTTAAATTAGTAACGCGGTTGTTAAGTGAATCTGACTTCCCCATTGGCTTTGCTTGTCAGAAGGTCGCAAAAGCGGATCATGTAACCCCTGGCACACTGCAACCATCATAAAGGTGAGTCAACTGCCATGCAGTTTTGAATTTTGATCACGTGACCGTGGGCAGACCGCAACGGTTGTTAAGTGTGAAAAATGGTCACGAGTCACTTTTTTCAATGCTACTGTCGCTTCGAAGAGTCAGTAAATGAACTGTTGTAAGTCGAGGACTGCCTGTAGCTGGTGTTTCTAAGAGCAAAGAGCAAGTGTATATATCATAATCTGGTTGGCAGGGAAAGGCCCAACTCTATCCATATAAGGTAGTGTAGGATAGATGGTGGTAGCAAATTGAGATCTGGGCTCCTGATCCAGATTGCTCCCAAGGACACAGCTGTTTGCACAAAATCAACTTGCCCTGGTTCAGAGGTCTTCAACCTTGGGCACTTTAAGATTTGTGGACTTCAACTCCCAGAGTTCCTCAGCCAGCTTTGGGAGTTAAAAGTCCACAAGTCTTAAAGTGCCCAAGATTGGAGATCTCTGACCTAGCTGTCTCTTGCGTCTACAGGCCAACAGAGATCAACCTTAGAGTCTCGCTTCTTCCTCCTCCTGCAAGCCAACCTTGCAGTCTTACACTACTCTGGAATTGGACTTATTTGTGGGACATGCCTATGTAGGGATTCACTGGAGGATTTTCTATTTGATAAAGAAAGTAACAGCAGGCAGATAGCTATTGGTCTAACACAGCGTTTTTCAACCTTGGCAATTTTTAAGACTTCAATTCCTAGCCTTCAATTTCCCCAGCTAGCTTTGTTCTGTGACTGACAGTGCCAGCGTAACAGCTCTCTTCCCATCCCCCCAAAACTGCTGGACCTAGATTTGAATGGAAGGATATAGTTGGGAGAGGCAAATGCCAAAAAAAAAAAAAAAAAAAAGTTGCCTCAGCAATTCAAGACGAGAAAGAAATCTCTCCAACTGCCACTTTCAGGGAAAGTCGATCGAAGGCAAAAGGAGAAGGGGGAACGGTAGAGGAGGAGATGGTTAATTCGGGGTCACTGATGCAATGAACATGAACTTGGGCAAACTCTGGGAGACAGCAGAGGACAGGGAGGGGTCCATGGGGTCACAAAGAGTCGGACAACATGGGACAAAATTAGCAAATGATAGAAGGTGCATACCATGTCTCCAAAATAATCCATTTGATGTATAACTCCTAGAACAAGCGTACCAATTCTAGGCACTTATTAATGGAGGAAATAACACACTGAATAATTCAACATGCCATCCTCCTTTCTAATTCATTCCTCCCTCAATGTTCCTTTTTATGGAGTCCGTGTTATGGGGTCCAGGAGACTAGTGATTTGCTTTGCTAAATGACGGTATTTCCCCCCCCCTTTTTTTTTTTAATTAAAAGGATTTGCTTATTCTGGAAGATAAGTTAATCTGGATCTGTCTCTTATCCAATAACGACTTAGGTATTAACCCTTATGCAGATTAATGAGGCTCGGCTAAAAATACCACCTTATGTTATGGATCACTTCAGACAGGCATGAGGCCTTCTCTGCTAAATCTCCGAAATTTAACCCCTTGTACTCCTTCCAGAAAACCTGAAGTTTTCAAAGTTTTTGTTTTATTTAGCACTGTGATAGCGAACCTGTGGCACGCAGAGCCCTCTCTGTGGGTATGCGAGCCGTTGCTCCAGCTCAGCTCCGCTGCGCAGCGTGTGTGCCTCTCGCCGGCCAACTGGTCTTCGGATCTCTGCTGTGCATGAGTGGGGTGGGGCTCATGCGCAGGGGACATGCGCATATTGCATTTTGGGGGGTGCGTATGTGCGCTTTGGGCACTCAGTGCTTGAAAAAGTTAGCAGTCACTGATTTAGCATATGGGGATGTTACATAAGCCAGGAGGCTATAATGCTAATGCAGAGTAGTTTGGCTGCCCAAGGCTGCTAGCCCTGGTTTGGTTCATGCTCGCACCGCTTTCCAAGGTGCGCCACAGGGCTAGTTCCGCACCACAAAGAAAGACAAGCTGCTTTCCTGCAGCATCATCTGGAGCCCTCTCCCTCCTCCAAGGCCTGGCAAATAGGCGTTGCAACTGGGAAGGTTCAGTGCCTGCAGAATTCTGACCATCCTCATGAAGCACTGGCTTGTCTCCTCAACAAAGTGGTACCTACATATCTATCACATGCAGCCTGCTTTCAAACGGCTAGGTGGGCAGCTGAGGTGAGTGATGGGAGCTCACCCTGCAACGCAGTGCTGGGACTCGAACCGCTGAAGCAAAGACCATCTACGGCATCACTGAGCCACTGTACTTCTTCATTTTCAAAAGATTTAAAAGATTTCTACTAAAACATGGTTACCATAGCTGTGATTTAATCACTATGCCACGCTTATGACAGCTGCACACCGTGCATTCCAACGTGATCAAAAATGGCATTGGCTTCTGGATGTAATACTTACCTTTTTGCTTTTTCTTGATAAAACCAGGCCCTCTGCCAAAAGTGCTTTCCCTGTTTCTGCAAATAGTAGGTCTTCGTCCATGTCTCCCTGCTTCTTCTTCAGTTCATTGTATTTCTCAACAAACCTGGAATTCCAAGAGGGAAGATCGTAATTTCCAGTCCGTGAACTTGAAAGAAAAAAAGTCCTTAGGGGAGAGTTTATTCACTTACCTCTGACAGGGAGATTTATAATTTGATCTTGCTAGTTCAAATATACCTGAACCAGCTCCATAGGCTTCATAAAATTTCCTAATGAATTAGATAAGAAATTTCAATTTAGGACTTATCTCCAGGTAGACAAAGAATATTGCTATGTTAGTATTTATTTATTAGGTAGGTTTATATGGTATCCAGCTCAAATACATGTCACTGGGTGGGTAATACATACTACTTAGCTCTAATAGTGCTGTATTTCCTCTCCCGCCTTGAGAAATGAACAGGCTTCCTATAAATTGTATTATTCACTTGAAGTCTTAGTCTAATTCAGGATACAAAAACTATCATTTTTCCTGCAGGAGATGCTGATGCTACCTTATCCAAGGAAACAAGGATTTCATTATTATTTTTCTTTTTAAAAAGGGGTTGTTTAAAGATGCTTGTCAAATGTTTATTTACATTTACTTTGATTTCTTTCCCCCAGAAATTCTTGAGAAATTATACACTGTCACTTAGTAATTTTCTGCTTCAGTGTAACAGGAAAAGTTTGGAAGATATAAGAAGCTGCAAAACAAGAATAAGATATCAGCTCTAGTCCTTCTCTGCCATTAGATCTGTAACATCACGAGGGGAAGCAGATTACTTAGACCTTAACAATACAAGCAGTCCTCGACTTACCACTGTTCGAAGTTATGATGGACTTACCTTGGAGCTATTTATGACCAGGTTCTGAAGTTCCAACAGCCCCCTCCGGCCAGTCACATGACTGATCTTCAGGCATTCAGCAACAAAATTCACAGCGTCCCATAGTCACATTTTACAATGATTTTGCTGAAAACCAGCACTAACTTCCAGTTTTCAGAAAACCGTGCCTATAACAAGCCATGGTTTCTCTTAACAACCATGGCATTTGCTTAATGACTACCGCATAAAGGGTTAGGAGTGACCCATGAGTGACCCATTTTGCAATCATCACAACTTACAACCAGTTGACGGTCATATCTCGAGAACTATATTTGTCATTTCCTGAGGCATTTTCCAAAACATCATAGCAACAAGGGACAAAGTTTGTATGCAAGAAATTCCACAATAACATCCCTATTACTTCAAACTGCAAGAAAGGGAGAAGGAACGATGCCTTAGATCTGAAAAGCTACTGTTGTTTACAACAGTGATCCCCAACCTTTTTTACGCCGCGGCCCGGTATCCCCAACCTTTTTTATGGCGCGGCCCGGTACCGACATCAGCTGGGCGCCGCCATCTTGTTTTGATGAAAAAGTGCTTCCGGTGAGCTTTTCCGGGTAGAAAGCTCACCGGAAGTACTTTTTCATCAAAACAAGATGGCGGCGCCCAGCAGGACTTGTTCCACGGACCGGACCCCTGGTTTACAACATGCCTTAGATCTAAAAGCCCCAGAAATTGAAAGGGAATAAAAAGTCTGTCTAAAAATCATACTCTTAAATTTGCTCAGTAAGTTTCCAAGTCTGGATGTCTCAATCAAATCTCAATTGTCTCAATTGTCATTCAAAATTCTAATCACTTGCTATCAGCAATAATTGACAAAATGCAGGCTGGATAAATTAGGAGTATGACTCTGTACAGGTCTAAAAATGCCAGTTTGGTGTAGTGATGAAGGTGCTGATCTAGAAACCAGGAGAATGTTGAGTTCTTAGAGTCTCCAGCTGCATGCATTCTCTTTCTCAAAACTACCTACCACAAAGAATTGTGGGGAAAATAGGAGACAGGAATAATAGTTATGCTCTTCACTTTAAATTGATCAAATACATTTTTTTAAAGTTGCATTAAAAATCTAATAATAAAATTAAGCACATTATTATTTTTAGTTGGCTAGCATTATGTAACAAAGATATAAAGCATGGAAACATGCATGCAAATCAGTAGTTGGCAAGTTAAGGATTTTTTTTTTTTTTTAAGGAAAAAGTACCACTACCTTTTCCAAGCAACTCAAGTCCAGGCCCCTAAGTGTGTGACATAAGCTATATTTTAGCTTTGTTGATGGACATTTTATAATACTCAGCTACTCTAGGTTTTTATTAGTATATTATGTACTTCATGTATTTTATCTATAGAGTTCTTGGTAGTCTCTGATGACTAGGTAACTTGGGTAACAAAATGTCTGCAAGCAAACAACCAAGCTCAGAAACTACCAAGAACTCCACAGTTCAACCTTGACCCTTTTAGGAGCCAACAGGACTTTCCTGTTTGTTCTTTGCAGATGTTTCACTTCTCATCCAAGAAGCTTCTTCAGCTCTGACTGGATGGTAGGGAATGGAATCATGTCAATGCTGAAGAAGCTTCTTGGATGAGAAGTGAAACATTTTCTTTCTTTTTTTTGTAAATTTTATTTGAGTTTTCACAAAGAGAAAAAAATACAAATAAAACATCTTTTTTGAAAGCACCATAATCCCGGGTTACATTTCTTCATACAGACACAAATTCAAGTTCATGCTCATTTTTATATTCTATTCCATATCTTATTACTATTTTACATTTTCTGCATAGCTTCTCCCCTCTTTTAATTTTCTCAATTTTATTTTAATTATCTCATCTCAATTCAAATCATTGTATTTATATTTTTTGTCTGTCCTGTTTCAATTATCTAATTATCTCTTCTCATTAAACAAAATTTTTCCTGTAGTTACTGATTGGAGTATGACGCCTTTATATCTTTTCCCTAAAGTTGTAACATTCAATATAATACATAACTTCCATTCGGATTCTGCTTGGTACATTCTTAAAATACACACTGTATTCTTAAAAAAAGAAAAAAATTATAAATGTATATAATTAAAACAACATTCCATTCCAAGTCAATTCTATCATTAATATTAATATTCATTAAAGTCTTCACATCTTTAACATTACTTTTCAATTAAATATCATACTTTTATGGGAACAATTATAAATTTTTCTTAGTTAATTCCCCCCTTCACTTATATTTTATAAAACATTAACTAATTAAAATGTTCCCGTTCCTTCCTAATTCAATGTTCTCATTTATTTTATTTCACTTATTTTATTCACAAACATTTCACTAAATTACACTATTTTATCCCTCATTTTAATCATACGTTGTTTCCAATTTTCTAAAGTTATTTCTATTACTAATATAACAATACAATCTTATGTATCTTTACAGAATCCCTTTTTCAGTTAGATTTTCACCCATTATCCCTAAATAGGTCCTGTTTCTCTATATCTTGCTCCAGTCCTTTGTAACTTATTTTTCTTTCCTTCTTCCCTCTCTTCTTCTCTCTCCCCTTTTTTACCCCCTTGTCTCTCTACCTCTATTTCTCTCTTTTGTATTCCCCTTTTCTGTTGCTTTCCAGTATTATACTTATTTTTCCAATTATTTTTCTTTTCTTTGGTTGTTTTTTTAAGTCTTAAATTCTCCATTCTCTTTCCCTCCTTTCCTTTTTCTTCCCCACATAAAATTACTTGTTCATTAAAGATGGCTTCTTCTTTGTCCCAGTCTTCTTGTTTTGCAGTCTTTTCTTGTTTCTTAGTTCCAAATCTCCATTTCTAAGAATTGAAAAACGAAGCCAAAAGAACCCTTCCCTTCTTGTGGATCTTCTTTGTACTTTTTAAGTTCCATTTTCAATTCATCCAGAAGTGGTGCCATTGTATAAATTTTTAAACAACCACCTGATTGATTTTAGTCATTCAAATATAATAACCAAAAATCCAAAGATCACCAAATAATCCAAATACACGCAAGCTGTTTCTTTTTTGCTCTTTTTTTTCACTTTCTCTTCCTGGGGTTGCTATTTAGTTGCAAAGTTTCAGTTAAAACGTATCTTTTAGAAGTCTTGTTGAAGTTTTACTTTAGATTCTTTTTAATTCCAGGCAGTCTCCTCCCTCTTCCAGATCCTGCCCTTATTCTTTTTCTCTCCCTTCCTGCTTATGAAAAAGAAAGTTTTTAATGTCCAGAAATCTTTATTATCCCTTTGGCATTTTGTTTTATTTTCAGCTTAATTGCCTATTGATGTCAAAGCGGATTTTTCCGATTTCTTATTTAAGTCTCTTAGTTGTCAGTATAGGGAAGGAGAGAGAAGAAAAAAAAAAGCCAAACCTTTCCCTTTTCACTTTCCTTCGCTGCTTCCGACTCTTCTTTGGGAGCGATGTTATTTTTTGTAAGTTTAAATTCCAGGGTACCTTGGTTGTTGCTTTTACAATTTAACCCAGTCAGCCAAAACTTTCACTTCTTATCTTCCTCCTGCACATTCTTTTCTGGTCGAGTTCTTCTTTGTGGTGGCCATTTCTGACTCCCGCTGCAACCACCTTCGGGAAAGGGAGTAATGGCCAGCTGAGGAGGAGGAGATGCGGCTCTCCTCGACCCTGCTGGCGGTCTCTCCCCTCTTCACCACCTCTACGGGGTGGCTTAGCCCCGAAACCAGCCGGCTCAGGGCGCTTCAGCGGCGAGCGCAGACAGAAACCACGCACGATCGCGGATTTCTGTCTGTCGCCGAAGCCCTTCAAACCGGAACACCCACAAGAAGTGAAACATTTTCAAAGAAAAAAGTTTATTCAGTTCTCATCTTGGATGAGAAGCGAAACATTTTCAAGGACAAAAAACGAAGAAAGTCCAGTTGCCTCCTGAAAAAGCACCTTTGGAATCTCTACAGACTTTAAGTTCAACCTTGAGTTACAAATATTCCATTTTATCACTTTTATTGCAGGTTGCCTGGAATCACACATGTGAGAGGAATGCCTATAAAAATTGAATAAATATAAGCAGTCCTCATTTACCAATTATAATAGAGACCGACAACTCCATCACTAAGCAACAAGTTCATAAAGTTAAAATGTCACCTGATGACAGCTCTGGCTGTGTCATTAGCAAATCATGCAGGGACGGCAACTTGCAATTTCCTACCGGCTTTCCCCTTGAATTTGCTTGTCAAAAGCCAGTTGTGAAGGTCACAAATGGTGATCACGTGGCCACTTGACACCGCAATTGTCATAAATACATACTGGTTGCCAAGCACCTAAATTGAGGTCATGTGACTGCGGGGACAGTGCAATGGCCGCATCTTCGAGGAGTGATAGTAAATCTTTTTTAGTTATGTTTGTGGGAGGTGCGGTAGTGCAACAGCATAAAGATGCTGGATCTGCTGAGCAAGAATGGTTGGCACTCTGATGGTTAGAGCGCTGATAGCACCACGGGATGGAGTGAGTGACCATCATCTGCCTCTAGCTCCTGCCCTGCCCACCCAGCAGTTTGAAAGCATTATTGCAAGTAGACCAATGGGTACCACTCCGGTGGGAAAGGCTAGTTGCAAGAGGAACTGGAGGTGGACCTGCCGGACACGAGGCGGGATTGGCGGAAGAGGCCTGGAAGATGCCATCAACTAGCTACTTGGTGCAAGCTAGTTCGTCTCCTGTGGCACATCTTGGACAAGGGCGCAGGCACGAAACCGAACAAACTAGCAATTAAGCTGTCAGGACTATTCTGTAAAGTGTAGATCTCCCTGACAAATGTATGCCACAGGAAATAAATAAGGGCTGTTTATAACTTTGAACGGCACTGAACAAGCAGTTAAATAAGCAAGGACAACCTGTAATAAATGGGAGGAGAGGGGAAATAAAAGTGAGAAAAGAAAGAAGACACTCTTACGCTCTGATCTGATCCTCCGGGTAAAGTATGGGGGGCACTGTATCTGTTATCTTTCCCACTAACGGGCGAATATTGCGATAAGTGGGCTCCCGCAAGGGAGGGAAAGCCTCGTAAACATCGTACCAAATGGGTTTCTGGGATTCGCGCATAGCCCCGGAGCGTAGCAAGTTCTGCACCCTGCAAGGAAAGAATAGGAAAACCATTTGAATAAAGAGGAAAAGGGGGGGGGGCAGTAGCCATTCCTATATAATTAATACTAATAGCAAAATTAATATTTTATGTGTTTATTAAATATATTATGGCTGCCCAATAACAGAAGACATTGGCCAGCTATAATGTATTTAATAAAATATATGAATTTATATACATTATATATATACACAAACACATATAAAATAATTTTACTATATACATTTATAAATTTGTTTTCTCAAGTTTTCACAGTATTTATATGTATGGTATTCAGCTTTGTTCAGGTATTTTCCCACGCTACAACTTTAAAAGCACAACTATAATGACATGGGAAAATAACCAAACAAAGCTGAATACCATTTATAAATTTATATATATTTACACATTTATATATATTTGTTTTCTTACATATATATAAATGAACACTATTGATACTTTATGGTGTTTATGGTTTTTTATTGGTATTTCATGGGTTTATTACATTTTGTAAAGCCACCCTCTCCAGAAGAGAATAGGAAACCATAATTAATTTAATACAATAAAATAAATAAAATATAAAACAGATCCTTTTCATTAAAGGGGCGGGTTACAATGAAAAAATATTTCCTAACTAAGCCAGCACTTGGCAGTTCCTTTCGAGAAGGAGGAACACGTGAAGTAGGCTGACTGCCTCTGAAACGGGAGGTTCGACCACTTTCGGGCTTTCAAATAACCCCGTCCAGCCCCAAGAGAACCACAATTCTTTGTGCCTTCCAGGGATTCCCCGGGCTTTTGCTATCCAAACATTGTATTTTTACAGGGAGCGAGCGCATTTATCGCAAATTTCCTAGACTTTTTTTTAAATTAACTGCCCCAAAGCAGCCACGCTTTCATTTCGCTGCTTTCATGCTTCCTAGTATACATTTTACGACCGCCGCTTTTCACAAGCCTTAACCCAAAATGCAGGAAGGGGGAGGAACCGAAAGACCCACCGGGTAAAGATTGTTCCGAACTTCTCCAACCGGCTGCCCGCCATTGCCTCTCAAACTAGGCCTAAATTAGGCCTCTCTTGGCAACTCAAAGCGGCCCTTAGCAACCTCGGGTCACGGAAACGGAAACCGAGAGATCTCGCGAGACTTCAATCGCCGCGCGATAGTGGCAAGCCGATAGGGGAGCAATATAGATTACAAAGACAGAAGCAATCGATAAAAGAGCGCCGCTGAAGGAAGGATCGCATTGGCTTTATGCAGGAAGCGAAATAATCAAAACTGGAAAATCATTTAGATTCTCTTGTGAGCTTACCTGTGGAATGTAGGGCTTACAATGCATATTCCTATTAATTATTATTTGGAATAGAGCACCAGAGGCTGGATTCCTGCAATTTGCAAAGCCAAAATTATCATCATCATCATCATCATCTTTATTTTCACTGTACATACGTACAACAAAATTTATTTTGCAAAACGTGGTTTGCTTAAATGTGCAATGTGTATTTTCAGAATTAAATAATAAGAGATTCCTCGGCTCACTTTTCCACTGTAAAGGCAACGTTTCCCAACTGTGGTGACTTTACTATGTGTGCCCTTTTAACTTCAAGAATTCCTCAGTGGCTGGGGGATTCTGGGAGTTGAAGTCCACCCATCTTAAAGTTGCTAAGGTGGAAAAACACTGTACTATGTTATGGCTATTTTAACTATCGTTTATAAAGTAAATCATGGTTGAGTTCACATCTTAACATCTTCCTGAACATAATGTGGCATATTTGGTTTGGTCAGAATCCAGTCACTTTGGTTTTTAAACCATGATTTTAGGCTTAGTGTCAGAAATCATATTTTTTAGATTTATATCTCATCTTTCTGGAATTATTCATAGTATTTCCTTTTATTGTTGTTAAACTCACAGTTTCCAGGTTTCTGGACCAGACCATTCATTATTATACTTTAATGGTTCATTCATTCATTCATCTCTATCTTATATACCACCCAACTCGCCGGGAGGCAGTTCATACCTTTTCCACACTCATTTCTCTTTTCTTTACAGAAATAGATGAATAAACTATTGGGGATGGGGTAGTGAATCATGCAGTGTGTAGGTTGGGCTTGATGACCTCTGAGGTCCTTGCCAACTCTACCACTCTGATATATTAGTCTAGATTGCACATGCTGGTTTACTGGATTGACTTGGTTGACATAATATACTATATGGATACGAATACTCTTCAGGTGAGCTCAGATCCTGCTAACTATACGGATGCTTTATTGCATTTTTGAAATGAAAATACAAAAGTGGTTATCCAATATTTTCCCCAAGATGGTTTTTGATCTACCTTACCACAAGCCTGGGATTCTTGGCTGATGGTGATGGACATCTTTGAGAAATCAATTTTATCAATTTAGCCACTGCAGTGCAAGTAGTCCTTGACTTACAACCATTATTACCTTTATTGTCAGAGTACAACATGTGTACAATGAGATTGGCTGAGCCTCCCTTCGTGCACCCCCCCCCCCAACACAACTCACTGTGAGGACAGAAGTCCCTAACCGCACATTTAGTAACTGTTTGAAGTTACAACAGCACTGGAAAAAGTGATTTACAACCAGTCTTACAAACATTGCAGCATCCCCATGGTCACGTGATAAAAAAAAATTGGGTGCGTGGTAACTGGCGTGTGTTTATTTTATTTATTTATTGAATTTATATTGCTGCCTAGTCACCCATGGCGACTCGAGGTGGCTTACAGAATGTAAAATCATATTTAAAATAAAAAACAATAAAAAACTAATTAAAAGAATCAAAAAAATTAATAAAGTACAATAGAATGAAATCTGGAAAAAAAATCACCCCCTACTCCCACCCCCTGCCCTGATGACAGCAGATCACACGAGCCATTTGAGGGGCTCCATCCCACTCTGGGTTCCCCAGGCCCGCTGGCAGAACCAGGTCTTCAGTGCCTTCCGGAAGAGTATTAGTGAGGGGGCCATTCTAATCTCTGGGGGAATTATGTTCCATTTATGATGGTTGCAGTGTCCCAGGGTCATGTGATTGCTATTTGTGACCTTCCCATCCAGCTTCCAACAAAGCAAAGTGAATGGGGGAAGCCAGATTTGCTTAACAACCGCATGATTCAATTAACTAGTGATTCCCTTATCAACCATGGCAAAAAAGTTTGTAAAATTAGGCATGTCTCACTTAACAACTGCCTTGCTTAGCAAATGGAAATTCTAGTCCCCATTCTGGTTGTAAATTGAGGACTACTTGCAGACTGCCTCCGAAGTTGCACATGGTCTCCAAGGTGCATTGTAGTTCAAGGCATTAAGAGGTTTTAAATATTTGACAGTGTCAAATGGAGCTGTGCATGTGCTCTCCTGCCACTTGCACAGCCTGGTTCTGAATGGGCCGCAGCCTGGTACTGGGCCGCAGCCTGGGGGGTTGGGGACCCCTGTCTTAAGTGACCAAGGTTGAAAACCATCAATGTAATCATTTGCCAGTGCTCACCTAGTAAAAAGGCTTGAGGGATCTCAGGCATTTCCTGAAGTGGGTAGAGAATGTATTCTTACAATGGCATATTTTCAGTTGATTGGAACTATTAATTATATGGTGCCAGAACTGGCTGGATCAGTGGCTGCCTGGGTGAAGCATGTTCTGGGTGCAACCCAGCTCTTGCTGGTTGATTCATTTCTTGGGAATATTTTGTGAACTTCTCAGAGACATTGTTTGACCATCAGGTTTGGAAACGGAATTCGGGACTCTGTTGTCCTTTCTTCAACAAGACTCTTCCTTGGGAATATAAAGCCTTATCTTTGCAGATCAGAACAAAAATGTCTGTTTGGGTTATCAGATCTATTCCAGTGGGCAGCCCAGTGATGGAGAAGGAGGTGGTTCACACATCATATGAAGCTATGGTTTGTTTAACCCTGTGCTGGATAAACTGCAGCTGACTCCGTTCATTCAGTGATATTTAATCATGAAAAATTACAATTGATTATTACTGAATTGCTTCAAATGAGAGACCGAGCTACTCCAGATCCCCCAAGGCTGGAAAATATTTTATTAACTTTCCCAGATGTTTTTATCCCAATTGATCATGACAAGAAGATCACTAAAAGACAATGTCATTGTGTTTTTTCCCCCCTACAATTCCACCTTTTTCTTCCTGTGTTGTTGCTTTTCAGTCATCCTCCTGAATGTAAATGAATGCTCTAGATCAGGGGTGTCCAACCTTGGCAACTTTAAGACTTGTGGACTTCAACTCCCAGAATTCCTCAGCCAGCAAGCTGGCGGAAGAATTCTGGGAGCTGAAGTTCACAAGTCTTAAAGTTGCCAAGGTTGGACACCCCTGCTCTAGATAATGAGACTCTAGAAAGAGTGCAGAGAAGAGCAACAAAGATGACAACAAAGGGGACTGGACTGTAGACTAAAACATAAAGAACGGTTGCTGGAACTGAGTATGTCTAGTTTAATGAAAAGAAGGATTAAGGGTGACATGACGGCAATGTTCCAATATCTCAGGGGCTGCCACAAAGAAGAGAGAGTCAAGCTATTCTCTGTCTAAAGCACTAGAAGGCAGGACAAGAAGCAACGAATGGAAACTAATCAAGGAGAGAAGCTAGAACTGAGGAGAAATTTCCTGACAGAACAATCAATCAGGGGAACAACTTGCCTCCAGAAGTTGTAAGAGCTCCAACAGTGGAGGTTTTCGAGAAGAGACTGGACAACCATTTATCTGAAATGGTATAGGGTTTCCTGTCTAAGTGAGGGGGTGGACTAGAAAACCTCCAAGGTCCCTTCCAACTCTTAAGTGGTTCTAAATGCTTTAAAATATTTCTTCCTAGACTTCTCCCCACCTGGGCTAAGTTGCCTTTATGAAACAAGCTGTCTGTTTATATCGAGTCTCTCTTCCATTCTTTCCTCAGCTTTTACACAGTCTCTCACAGGTACTTGACCACAGCACAGGATGAGAGCACAGGGTGCTAGCCAGCTAATCCTCAGCATTGATTATAATTTAGCCTTGGCATGTTTTTTTTTTTGTGTGTGTGTGTGCTTCCCAACTATGCCACCAGATGGCAGCTGGTACAATGTATTTCCTACAGTCTTTGTCTCTTCCTCGCCCAGTCAGTATCTCTGTTAACATGCAGAACCAAGGTTACGACAACAAACAAACACATTTGCTGTCTTTCAGAAGGCACTTTTGGAAGGGTCCTTTTGGATTTAGTGTTTCCTGTGGTTTGAATGAATCTAAAGCAGGGATGGACAGTAGCATGTCCTGCATGTTTAATTTTCCAGATCACAGTCCTACAAAGATTTGCTATCTGAATAACAGAGTTTGGGGGCGTTCAACCCTCTGCTTGAGCAGGACACCCTATATTAATCTGGACAAATGGCTGCCCAGTTTCTTCTTAAAAACCTCCAGTGATGGAGCACCCACAGCTTCTGAAGGCAAGCCATTCCAGTGACTAATTGTTCTGTCAGTAAATTTCTCCTTAGTTCTAGATTGCTTCTCTTCAAATTAGTTTCCATACATTGCTTCTTGTCCTGCCCTCAGGTGCTTTGAAGAATAGATTGGCCCCCTCTTCTTTGTGTCAGCTCCTTAAATATTGGAAGATTGCTATCATGACACTCCTAGTCCTTCTCTTTGTTACACTACTATACATACCCAGGTCCTGCAATCATTCATTGTATGTTTTAGCCAGGGGTGGGTTTCTACTGGTTCTGTCCACTTCTGTAGAACTGTAGCTCTGAAGAGCAGCAGATATAGAACCGGTTCTATGTCTGCTGATGTTTTTGCCTGCCCACCCACCCGGGCTCTTACCTGATCTTTATTTCCTGATTTTTCAACTTCAGCTGCCAAACGAGGCACAGCTGCAGTTAAAAAAGCAGGAAAAGAGGGCTGTTTCAAAGGCTGCTTCTCTGCACACAGCATGCTGATGACGATTTACAGGCGTGTGGCTCACAGCGTGCAGGGAAGCTCGTAAATCCCAAACCGGTAGTTAACCCTGTTGTATCCCACCCCTGGTTTTAGCCCCCAGCCCCTTAATCATCTTAGTTGCTCTTCTCTGCACTCTTTCTAGAGTCTCAATGTCTTGTGATCCACGATCCACTTTACGGAAGCTGAAGCGGGAACCAAAA